TTGTGTCTCAGAGGGACACCTGATCTTCACAAAGCTGCCCGTCACTTAAGTATTAATATAGAAAACACTTCCCACTTACCAGAATTGCTGATTTTTCCACAGCCGGCCGTGCCCGCGTTACCCGGCGCTACCAGAACCTGCTGAACCTGTGGCGACTGGGCCAGCTTCCACGCCAGCGCGTGCTCCCGCCCGCCGCCACCAACCACCAGCACCCGCCCTGCCATGACACCTGAGCGGCAAAAGAAGAACAACACCACCACCAAAACTCATCTTGTCATCCACCTTTAATTGACAGCACTCGTGCCAATTTAATTGCATGCAAACGGTGACCTATAACTGCACAGCTGCGAGGAAGCGGTGACCTTTTCAGTCAGCCTGCTGCTCTCATATTATCTTGTATCGCCGCAGTAACAAGGATCCAATCAAACAGAACATAAACACAAGTCAACAATTACACAGAATGGTCACCAGGCAAGGCTAAATCACCAACAAGTGGAAACACAGGCTCAATTTGCATAGAAAAATAAAACCATAACAGCCACAGTGTGGCTGGGCAGTTATTCGGCAGTCCCTCCATTTTTGGAGTATTCATCCAACGCATTTTTTTAAAAAAAAATCCCTGTCATGGAAATTTAATTAACAAAGCTAGCAGACACTGTAGTAGCAGTAAAAACACCTTTAATTCTTCTATCGCATGCATGAGGACAGACATCAGTCAGGGGGCACTGAGAGCCGTCTTTGAAAATGAACAGTACTGGCCTCTTTTTAATACAGTCAACAGAACAAACGAAGGCCTTAAACAGCTGCTCCTTACAACTGCTTCCCCAAGGAAAGAGTTTACAATCCTTTACAAGAGCAGTCTGGGGTGATAAAGTCAAAGTACTGTTACTAAGACAATATGTGACCAATACGTAAAAAAAGTCCAACATATCCCTTTTACTTCAAACTATTGGGAATCTATTAGAAAGCAGGATACGGATATAAAACAGCTGAAAGGGACTACAAAGTTGTTTGTTGGCCCTTGAAATCAAACAAACTGGGGTCAGAGTTTAAACCATCCCCATGTGCACTGACCTGAAACCCATTCCTTGAACCCTGGGAGGTTGTGCAACTGCATGGTTTGCTACAGTAAAGGCCAGTTTTTGCAGATACACTGCATCAGTGCAGTGACTTCAGGGATAAGACAACACAAAGGCGTGTGTGTTGCACAGTGGTTGCGCATGCTCAACAATTAACCAAATCATCGGGTTTGATTGAACTCACTCCGCTCATGTGACTCGCTTTTAAGATGCACGAGTCCAATAAGGGTTTAAGAAAGCTTTTTTTTTTCTTGAGAACCTTCACTGACAAAGCTGTTTATACGCTGTTACACAACATGCTGCGCAAAATGATGCATTTGAAACTGGTATTACTGCACTGGCATGTGCCAGAATGTATATGAATGAATTTCACTGCTATACTCTGGGAAAACAGTGAAAAGGTGGCAGCATGTACACAGAAATCCATGCATTTATTCTAGAATAACAAAAAAAACATCCACTGCATTTCTAATAAACTTTCTTGGATCGTCTGTGCAATGCATTCAATCCCATTCTCTTCCACTAAGAGTACATTCAGCGACATTACCGCGTTAAACTGGGTAAAGTGAGCATGTCGCGTGCCATTTTAACACTTACCTGCGCGTGTTAAGTGTATGTGTGAAGCAGGAATTAGCCGGAGCCCAGACCAGGACAACAGTCAGACGTGTAGCCTCTGCACCCAGCCCGCTGACTGACCGAGGGGATGCAAAGTATGTCATCACACACACACACACACAACACACCGCGTGGATCCAATATAACAAATACATATTCACTATACGTTAGCAAACGCTACGAAAAGTTAGCTTAAAGTGCTACGAAGCATAACAAAGTGTATCGGCGTTTGTGTTCGCTGCTTACCTTTATGTGTTGTACAAACTAATCTGGGACACTTTTTTGGGGAATTCTACAACTTCCTCGGGGTGTAACTGGCAAGTGCATCATGGGAATTGTAGTTTGTTCGCCATCTCGTGCTAGTGTGACGACCATTGACTGTAGAAAACACAGTCAATGGTGGCGACTCGAATTAGGAAAACCGGTAAAGGCAACTAACTAGATGGTGATGACAGCAACACCTGGTGTAACACCCCAGGAGAGAATGCCGGCGCAAACGTTGTAACAGTTATAAAAGGCACACAGGCTCGTTATTATCGGGCAGAGACGAGGCAGGTCAAGTTCATCAAACAAAGTTTATTGGACAAAATCACTAAAATTGTAGAGCTGAAAAAAAGAACTTCTAAGTAGCAGGGCTGGGAATACCGAACCGTTAATTAAGACACGTTATTTACAAACATTACTTAAAATAACAAGGTTCAGTAAAATGATCCTGTGTAGTCTGTCTACAATCCTCACTGCAACTTAAATGGTGCGTAATACCCATTTCCCGGTGTGTATGCTCACATGCATCAGAGGGAATTCCACCACACGTGCCTAGCCCTCACAAGCATAGTGGAGCAACCCTCCACTAAAGCAAAATAAACCCATAAATCAATATATATAAAACATAAAACAACTCAGTAAATGAGATGCAAAAGAAACAAGAACCAACAAACACAATTAACCAGTACTCAGAACAATGTGCAAGTCCTGGAACTCAGTGAAGATTAAAGAGAACGACAACTGCAAGACAACAGTATCATCACTTGTATGTAAATGTACATTATTCACATGTGTCACTACTTTGCCAAGATCTGGAAGAAAACCTAAAGTATTATCCTCACGAGAGGAAATTGGTTTCTGGTGCAACAGCGTCACTCCACACAGTGTAGAATGATGCTGCCAGAGCTTTACATCTGCTCCAAAATTGACACCTTCAAGCTTGACTGAAATTTGCAGCTGCCCACCTGGACTAGTTATATACTTTCTCAAGAAAAGTTTTATGGTCAGATGAGACAAAGATTGAGCTTTTCAGCCACAATGACAAGTGGTATGTTTAGAGTAGTAAAGGTGAAGCTTTCAAACCTAAAAACACTGTACCAACTGTCGAGCATAGCGATGGTAGCATCGTGCTGTGGGGCTGTTTTGCTGCCAGTTGTACATTGCACAAAGTAGATGGAATGATAAAGGGCTACTTCCAAATTCTTTAACTTCACATGTCTGTCTGCTTCCCAGGTGTTTTTGGTGACTAAAGCTTGAGCTTTACATCACTTCCACTTTTCCACTTTTGTGAGATCACCGGTCTAGTCCAATCATCTTTCTGCCGGCCTTCTTTAGGCCAATCAACCTTCACTCCGTGTACTTCAAATCTCACTGCACATCTGTCATTCTTCTTTGCAGACACCTATTTGCAACCCACCTCCTCCCTATCACCGCCTCTCACTCATCATTCAAGCCTCCATCTATTTCTACCACCAGCGTCTAGACTTCAGGGGTGTCCTGCTCTAGTCTCTTTCACAGATGGGGTTACGTTCTGCTATGCTGGGCCATTGGAATTGCCAAATACCTGAAATTGAATTCTGTACATCTATTAATTATGCTCAATTCCTTCTAGACCTGCTAGAAGGCTGAAATCTGGGCGTTCCAACAAGTAAATGATGTTAAATACATGAAACGTGCATTTTGAATAGAGAACGCAGACTACCATTAAGCTTCTGAAAATCTTCCCAAAGCCCTGCTTAAAATTTGTGGACAAAGGTTAAAACCTGTGTTTTGCCAAGAAGCAAACCACTTTAACTGAACTCAATTCAATACCAATTCTGCCAGAGTGGTGAAATATTTGCCCAGAATTATGTCAGAAGATTGTTGATGGCTACCAGAAGCATCTGGCTGAGGTGCAACTTGCTTAGGGACATTTAACCAAATATTAGCGGATGTATATGCATGTTGTTAGCCCGTGCGGATTAGAGAAACTTGTACAAGTTACTAAAGATGTATACTGTACAATCATTCCACCCTGGAAAAAGAACAGTTTACTTAAAAGCCCCAAATTACCATGATATTCATCCTCATGGATAGTTTATGCAAACTTCTGAACTTTACATTCAAACCATCACATAATGCTATTGGCATCCCTATAATGTTAACCTAATGCAGGCTTTTTAAAAAATATCTTTTTATCCACAAATTCTTTAATTTTGATCATAGCTTCTAAAAAACTATTCAGGAAACACTGACAAACTTTAGGAACGATCACAGCCATATCAAGCTGGGATAACAAACGCAACATAATAAGTGTTAGAGTTGAATTGTTAAATGTTTGTCATTTTTATGTTTACCATTTGTACAGTGTTTTAACTCTGATGAAAGAAATTCCACTGTCCTTCCCCCCAGATTCTCGAGGTTCTGGTGGGGGCTGTAATGTTTTATTGCAGATATATCCTATCTGGAAGATCTGCTTCGTTTGATGTAAGCTTCCTGCGTTTACGACCCTTTGGTCAGCAGGAGGTCTGACACACACACACACACACACACACACAGAGTCCTTGTCTTTGTAACCAAAGGTGTTTAGTAAACTATTGTTTGAAGTTTGTCAATAAAAGGCAGCGAGAGGAGGCCACCATTGGGGTCATTGTCGTGCTGGACACAGATGAGAGGCCTCCCTTGCACAAGTAATCGATCGATCGACTGTCTTGTTTTCTTCATGATGAATACGTCTCTAGAATTAGCGGGGTTTGTGGAAACACAGACCCAACAATAAGTTATACAAAAAGAATCCACTTTTCATGCAAGTGTGAGTTTTTTCCTTCTCAACTGTAGCGATTTGTAGCGCCCTAACTGCAGCGACTCCATCACTTTTAATGTGGCTTTGGAAGCAATCACAGGAGATTAACCTGCTGATAGAAGCTTCTTCACAAAAGCACATAACAGCTCTGAAATACATGCTGGAGCTGTGCCATTTATTGCTTTTTGCAAGCGATCAATAAATTCTGAAAGTCAATCTTGAAGTTAACATGGAGATGTGTAAAGTTAGCAAATAAGGGCTGAGAGTAGGGTGGGGGCTTTTAATGATGTTGTCTTTAAAACAAAGATACAAACATGTACATCTCTTAAAATGTGATTTCTAATCAATGTTGCCACAGAAAAATGGACAGAAAGTCAGAGTTCACTTTGAGCTTTGATTTAAATCTGCTGATCTTAAACATTTGGATCAATACAAAGTGTTATTGATAGTATAAATAGATCTTCAAGCTTTAAGTCCATCCACATGTGGCAGTGCGGTCACAACAGAGGGAGTTCAGGAGCATCGAGGAGTTCTTGTCCCAATTCTGACTCTCTTATGGCAAACAATGTGACGCCTGAGCTGTATGCTGCAGGGATCCTGATGTGAGTCATCTTGGGCTGATTATTTTCTTCTTCTTCTTCTTCTCCTTCCTCCTCCGTGGCCATCTGCCTCACCTGACCTGAGGAAAACAGGAAAAACAGTGTCAAATATCACATCGGGCACAAAATGTAAATGTAGAACACCATGATGACCATGTCGTGAGTAACAAATGCTGCACTGTCCAACCCGAGAAGAAACAATAGACGTTCGTCTTCTTCAATACCAATTCAGTGAAAAGGAGCTGCTGCTTTACCCTCGACATCCAGGGCCTTCCACCGTGGGTCGGACTGGCTCTCCGAGAGGCCCGACAGGGAGCAGTCGGGCGTCAGTCGCTGCAGCACGTCTTCTCGACGAATCAGCAACATGGATTCACTGCAGAGTCGCTGGTGCACCTCTCCCTCGCTTACTACAACGCACAATAACCAACACCAGCATGAGGAGCTGATTCCTCTTCCCTATAAGCAGCTATTTCCTTTCCCTTACTCACCTACATCTAAAGGATTGGTCATAAAGACAGCGTTGGATGTGACTCCGAATATGAGCTGGTGGTGCCAGGCGTCGGGCACCTCCTCACCCTCGGGTACAGCCAGCTGCATGTTCATGGTCGCCACGGGAACAGCGCCTTTTCGGATCCAGCGGGCGAGCCAGGGGACCAGTCTGACTCGCCTGCGAGGGTGGAGGTGGAAGAATCGGCCCGTCACCTGGCCTCCGCTGGCCTCCTGCGCTCCCTGGATGAGCTGGATGTGAGTCGCACCTGAAACGGGGCCGACATTTATCGCATCTGAATCATAACAGTTGAACAAAAAGTACGTGTCACGTCCGCTCAGAAGCTGAAATGTCGGTGTAAAAACTGTGTAGCAGAGCCGAGAAAGTCAATTACAGCCTCTCCTGCGAGAGACATCAAACTCTTTGTCTAATTCAATAGGGTACTTTTGAATTCGCCTGGTTGGCAATGCAGCCAGCTGTCACACTTGTGGGAAGCAGCACTTATGGGTTCAAGACATTACAGAACGGGGCAGTTATAGTCCCTGTTAGCATCTGTGACACCCCAGATATTACTGTCTGTGGAGCTAAATTAAGATATGCACCTATACCACACTTTATGTATTAACATTTCATTACCTGAAATGTCATGGAACAGCTTGCCGAGAGAGTGAGAAATTTTGAGCTTGAGCCAACGGCTTACAGTGTAATACCTGCCAATTTAGGGGGAAGCTTTTAAATTGCACAAAAACACACATTTTTAGGGAATTGTAAATGCTAAAGAGACTGCATTTATGTGGCTTTTCTAGTCTTAATGGCCACTCAAAGTGCTTTAACACCAGAAGCCACGCTCACCCGTTCAGGCAGAGGTTTATAGTCTAGATCAATTCTGTTTGAGCAGTGTAACCTTCTCGGTCCCCTGGGTTCTTGAAGCAAATGGCCAAAAGCAGCCCTTGGGATCATTTTATGCAGCCCGTGGAGCAGAAAAAGGAAAGAAAGCAGTACTGTATGCACAGGTATAGCCAAAAGACATTTTTTTAACATCTGCGGTAATTTTTATTTAGCAACATTGCTCTGTGTTGGTACCTCATCACCGCTTTCATTTGAATGTGAGATGGATATAGAACTGCAAGACCCCCTACTGCCAGCACCAACGCCATGCAGAATAGAGCAGGCATCACTAAAAACAGATATTAAATAGTATTAGTTAAAAAAAACAACATGAAAGGAAGAGCTGGGTTGCAAAAAGGCTTGCAGGGGCAGCTTAAATAGGCTGCTCACTTATTTGGCAAGGGGTCACCACAGCGAATGGATCCACAGATTTGACATCAGATGCCCATCCTGATGCAACCATCCCCGACTGGAACTCAGAATTCAGTAGCATGTGACCTCTTCAGGCTGGGTTTGTTTCTCCTTTTGGCAAATGTTTTCACCACTATACTGAGGGGCACTACAAGAGATTTTTCAATGGGATGTGAGATGTATAACGTAGGCCAACACTGAGCTCAGCCGATCTGCAATCAAGACAAATCACAGTTTAATTCCATCTCTCCAAGCTGTCCACCTGACAGCTTTTGTTCAGATTTCTTAATTGTCTATGTCGCTTCTGCAAGAACTCAGAGGACCACGTGCATTGTTATTACATCAACTTGTCAGCAGTCAGGACTGAGATTTCTTTAGTAAGGTGTAGCAAAGAAAAAAAAAATTCCTCTTACCTCGGAAGAAGCAAGCACAATAAAGCACAATAAGAAAATAGACCCTCATGTTTTGCATCAACTACTCGTTGCTACATTCTTATTAAAGAGGAATCAAGACTCATTAGGGTTTACACAAAAACATATTCCAGTATGGAAAGAGGGATTCTGACCAGTTTAAGTGCGCACACATCAGACACATTCAGCTAACGGTAAAGACTTCCTGTAAGATGGCACTCAGACAGTTAGAGTGCTCCCCACATCTCCACCACCCTAAGCCTCAGTATGGGCTCCTAACAGGTTGTATGCCATGTCCCTTGTTCTACTCCATGATTGCACCCCATCCACCACAGCAACACCATCCACAGATGACAACACGGTGATGGGGTTCATGTCTGTGTGAGATGAATCGGCCTGCAGGGACGAGGTGGTGCAGATGATGGTGAGGTGCAGAGACAACAACTTGCTTCTTTTGTGTGTGGTGCAGCTGCACAGTGGCAAAAAGTCGTCTTTAGAGGAACTCAACAACACTCGCTGTCTCAGGAAATCCCAAAAACATTTTGTCTGACTCATCACACCCAGACAATGCAGTACAATAAAATCAAGGACAATGTTACTTCCCCACAACTATTTAAGCATAGTTTTCATTTATTTTGTATATATTATTTGTATCCTCTTTAGCACTAAATGCTGAACTTAGTTTTGCTGAACTTGTAACTTAGTAATTTTAATCATTATTTAGGGGTCTGGAAGCCATGCTAACTTGTCGCCGGGAAGGTTTAGTCTGTTACACTGGCTGGAAAAGACGCTCACTTTCAAACTTTTTTTGTAGTGTTAGAGCATAGCAATATCTACGGCTGGATTAAGTGCATACAAATGCCTTTTTTTCTCCACACACTTTTGCACTTACAGGGTGCATAAAGTGTTCCAGAGGGCTGTCACTGGCCTGCAGCTTTCACTTGGAGAGCCCCGGCCCTTGAAGGTTAAACAGGAACTCCAAGAGAATCGATCTAAAGCCAATGTCGCCTGCTTGTGCTGAAATAATTCATTTACTTGTCATTTGGCTTTCTGTTTCATCAGCTTGTATATGCTTAATCAAGTTAATGACAGTCTGCTGAGCTTGGTTTCATTTTTATGGAAAGTTGAAGCATCTAAAATCTGTCCAAATCCTCACGGCAAAGGAGCATTTGCAGACCTTCAAATGTAAGCTTTTTACTTAAAAAAGCAGTTATGGTGTGCTTATAGAACATGTGTGTCTACTTTCCCTCTCCCTCCCCTTAGGGAATCCACAGTGAAACAGGACCTACACCCTATAACTGTTGCAGTAGTCAAAAATTCATGAGAATGAAAGTTACCTGGCAATAAAAATATATATTATGCACAGACAGAGAAGAATGGACTAATCCAATTGTTCTCTGTCTGGAAAAAAAAATAGTGGAAAGTTGGATATAAGAAAGACAAATACAATTTCAACAGTACGTCTCAGTTTTTCCACGTGATAAAGAAACAGTAATGGAGGAAATGAAAGAAACCTGTCAGCACCATGGTTTGGGTTTAAACTTTGAAAAAATGAATGTGTAAAATTACAGAAAAAAATTTGATAGCTCATTGCCCAGACTCCTGTAGTTTCTGTTATTTCATGTGGACGCATTGCAAAAAAATAAAATAAAAGATTTCTATAGTCAACAGTGGAAAAACTGTTGTTTTTCTGTTATTTTACTGCATCTATTACTAAATTATTTTGGTGTAATCTGAATGGGCGTGGGGTCGGTCTTTATCACAAAGAAAAGCTTATAATACATTTCATATTTTCCAAAGCCATCCAATGGGTCAGACTGGAGTCTCTGCGGGTCGATTCTGGCCCCCAGGCCTTATGTATGACCCCCCCGATTTAGACTTAATACTTAAACGTAGCTCAATGATCAGGATATGATAGTGCACACGGCATTTTCTGCACATTTATGTGCACTTTTTGCGTAAAACAAGCACACCCCCCTCCCTCTCTTTAGCCATGTTTAGTGTTCTCACCAGCTTCACTGCGGGACAGCAGGTAGTCCGGCAACGGTGACTCGTTCCTCCGCAAACGGGTTTGGACGCAGCGGTCAGCTTCCTCCGGGGTCACGTCTACTCCGAGCGCCTTCAGCACGTCCACCACAGCCGTGGCCCCGCAGGCGGACGCTCCGATCTGCAGGGTCTGCATCTCCAGAGCCTCCTGGACGGACCACAGCATGGCTTCATCGGCCCCTGCCTCCTCATCATCCTCACGACCTCCCCGCACCTCCTCACACACAGCCGCCTCCATCTGAGAGCCTCACCTGGAATATAAGTAAAGGCACAAAGTCAAAGTAAAACACCTGCAGCCATTAACCATGTAGCCCATGAATACGGAGGGGAGAGCTTAACGAGATCCAACACATATGTGCACCGAAATTACTCCTCATAGTCCACTCGGGTGTTTGCCAGTCTAAACAACGGATTTATTTACGTTTATTTTACATGTCCTCACCATTTCTCACGCTGTCAGACACAAACCGACAGCTGCAGCTACAACAACAGTGTGCGCATGCCCGTACTGCGCGTGTTCTTCTCCTCACCGCTTTCTTTACCAGCAGGGGAGAGGAGGAATGAGACGACTGGCGCCCCCACTGGCCGCTTTCAGCTATGACCCACGACCACTACAAGTGCATCTCTGCAGGCTGAAGGCATTTTTACACCGAAAACAATTCAGTTTGCATATCTGTCTACAAACCGTGTTTATAAAGTAGTACTGCTGCATTTTAATGTATTTGGAGATCTGCAACAGACTTGTATTAAATCATTTTGGCGTATCCAAACAATTGTTTTTTGTTTTTCAACTGTGCATGCTCTTTAGATTTTTTTTTATTCATTTATTTATTGGTAAAGTCTAATCTGGTCGTATTGTACTTGAGTGTAACCAGATGTTTGTAGCTCAGAGTAAAGTCTCTGTATATACATCCATTAAGGCATCGCTTATAGATTTTAATAATGATTCTCCTACCTTTCTGAAAGTGTATTTGACTTGGTTTGATGCTGTGAAGTTGTTCTGTTTAACCACTGAATAATAATTTTGTCATCATCCACTTTATTTGTCTTCTGTGCTCTTTCAGGCCTTTGTTTGTAGCTGGCCATCATTCTTTTAATAATGCACAAGATTATTGATCTAGCCACTCATAAAGTTGTTGCTGTCTCTCTGACAGGTTTTTCTTTGGTTTCTTTGGTTGATCTTTGGTTTCACTGAATGATGGCCTCCCTCACTTGCACCAACATCTCTTTGTACTTTACAGTGTAGAGTATGAAACAACAGGAGAGCAGGCCTCACCTGGCCATGAAACTACTTGTCAGTCAATTGTCCAATTATTTCTGGGGGTTTGTGCATAAAAATGTCAGTAATTCCTAAACACTCAGCAAAATACTTTTGTTAAACACTTGAATTAAAGCTGAAAGCCTGCACTTCAGTCACATCTTGATTGTTTGATTTGAAATCCACTGCGATGGCGTACAGATGCAAAACTACAAAAAATTGAAGCCTTTGTCTAACAAGTTATGGAGCTGACTGCATGACCACAAAGCCCGGACAGTTTTCCATCAAGCCAAAAGATGTCAGTGTGGCTACATGCAACTGCAGCATGCAGAAGCGCAGCATGTGTGGTAACAGCAGATATGTACGTGGTGTCACAATGTTTGATGCTTTGTGAAAGAGCCTGAGGCGTGCAGCACGTCGCCGATGGCCGCGTCTTCTTTTTGCCGTGCACGGTTATCACAGGAGGAAGGGGGGGCATCGGGGTGAAGTGTACAGAGAGCAGACAATCTGAGGCATTAAAGGAAATAGTGTAACAAGGCCACTGTAATCAAGATGGTCTTTTTCTCTTTTAATGTGCTAAATAATTTTTCTCGTTGAGCTAAATTTTGAGCCAACCTGGTTGCACGCCGCACAAATGAAAAGCATAACAGAACAGTTCAGGATAGTCAGCTCAGAATCATCCAAACAGGAAGTCCCACGGGACGTCACTGTTCTCCCAATTATTTCTGACTTAAATTCTACAAACAGCCAACGCTGGCTCTGCCTCAAAAACACATGAGAAGCACATGGAAATAAAGTAAGCCAGCTCTCTGCTCAATGCCATCTGGTGGCTGGAAAAGAGAATCAGAGTTTGCAACCGAAAGTGACCTGCGCTGGAAAAAAACCCAGACTTTAAGATTTGTATTTGATTAAGAAAGCCTAATTTTTATTCCCCTTGCACACCTTGCTTTGATCTCTCCTACAGTAACTTTATCTGTACTGATCCAGGATCACCCATCAGCATGTGTAATCACGAACACCAAAATCCTTGTTGGTATTCGCCTCACCCTTACTTTCGCCAGGTTTTCTCTCAGTTGCTGCTGGAAACACTACAAGCAAAGTGTGATTAAAACTGACGGGCTCGACGAACGTGACCCGGCTGCCAATAAGCCAGCCAGGAGATGAGGTAGATGGGATGGGATGAAAGACAGAAGCAACCTTGGCGTCACCATTTTTTTTCACTTGCAGATGTAGTAGAAGCTTAAAGGGAGTTTCCTTCTAAGCCGTCTAAGCTTTAGCTCTTCGTTATCAAGCTTGCCAACAGATATGCAGATCAATATTTTCCTGAAGTGGGCTATGAATAATATGAATACTGTGGGGGTAAAATGTGGGATGTGCTAGTCATTTTAGCAGATAATTCGGAAGCTGCGGCGACTGTACAGAATCAATAGCTTTTTCCTGTGAAAGCATTAAACAGTGTGGATATGCAGCAGCTGTAATATGATAATGCTGTGCTGCCAGCAGACTGTAATGTTGTGCAGCCGTGAATCCAAACGGGTGACCAAGTGCCATCACAGGCACATTTAGCCGAACTCCAGTATTGGGACTAATGCGGCTGTTTACACTAGTTCTCAAGTGGCTCACGCACTCTTTATCTGAATCCTGCTTTACTTGTTACATAACCGCTCCCAATGCAGAGACCATCAAAAGTAGATCCTTCATGCACTTTCAGTTGAAACCATTAAAGGGATTAAATGAGAAGGATTTAGAAACCGTGCTTCACGGGCCCAGTTTTTCATTGAAACACCAAAGCGGTTTGATTTAGCAAACAGCTGGATGGAAACGCTTTCTTTTAGAGGTCTGCCGTTTCCCTGAACTTTCCTGTCCTCTGGATGACCTTTTGGGTGCTCCACCATCCACTCACTTATTTTTGATTTTTTTATTTTATTTTCCAGATTTCTGAAGTATGAAATACATTTGTGAATATAAACAGCACCAAAGCCTGTACCTACTGACACGTCATTCATATTTAATGATGCATTTCTGTTGTTGTTGACTTTGCCTTTCATGAGTAAACTGCAAATCACTGAGGCTGGAGGATGAATAGGTAGTTTTTTCCTCTGTGAATACAGACCATTAATAAAGAGACACATACAAGCTGAAGATGCAGCTGTGTGCCCCTCTCATAAATAAATAGTAAATAAAATAAACGAATGCACTGATCACAAATTAACAGTGACTGCTGTGAGGCAGGCTAATGCAGATTCATGCATCTACTGAAATAGAGGTGCAGGTTAAAAAAGTAAAAATGCCACATCTTTGGCTTCACATTTGTTAAGAGTGAACCATTACAAATGATGGTGGGAAAATAAGAAATCAGGACGGAACCTTGTTAATTGCTTGTTATAATGCAAAAGTTTTCCCCAAAATGTCAGACCACAGTGCCCAACAACAAATGCTTTAAGGCAAGGACACACACAGCTCAATTTAATCTTAAAACTCACTTTTCTGTCCAAACAAAGAAGTTTAAGGGCACTTTTAGCTGAGACATCTTAATATAAAAGAAGATGTCATTTTAAAGGCAGTTCTTAGTTATTCTGTAGGATCACGAATCGCTGCTTTAATTAATAGAAAAGAAACGTATCAGTATGACTTAAATTATAAGAAATAAGATTGTAAAATTACAGAAAACGACAAAGAGAAAGCTTGTCTAAATTCAATTCAATTCAACTTTATTTATATGGCATTGTTGATGATTTCCTAACTATATGAAGAAACACACAGCCTTCATTTTCACTGCTGAGCAGATAATTGTGGTCAGACAATTACATCCACTCATCAAGAGCATGAATGTAACAGTAATTCGGGCCTTTTAATAATTTCTTTGAATTCTTTTTGCAGGGTTGAATGATTGTACAACATATGTCTTTAATGTTTAAGTGTTAATGACTGGATTAGATTTGATTCTACTGTATTTTATTTGCTGTCATTTTAAAAGTATATTACTCAAACAATGAAAGGAAGTTTGGCATCCAGTTCAAAGTGCAAACAATATATACATGCGTTGCTATCAGTGATCAGAGTTTAGCAGGCTGACAGCAGTGTGGAAGAAAGTGCTCTTCAGTCTGCTGGTTTGGGAGCAGAGGATCCTGCACTCCTTCCAGAGCGACGCAGAGTGAACAGTTTGTGGTTTGGATGTGAGGAGTCTTTATGATGTTGTGAGCAGTCTTCAGACTGTGATTCCAGACTATGTTAGCAAAGGAGGGGAGCTGAGTCCCAGTGATGTTTTGGGCAGTTTTCTCAACTCACTGTAGAGCTGCTGTTAAACCACAGTACAATGCAGCTAATCAGGATGCTCTCAGAGGTGCATCTGTAAAAGTTCAGGAGACATTTGAGGGTTTTCTTTATCAGGCTAATTGTATTGGTGTGCCAAGTGAGGTCATCGCTGATGTGGACTCCCAGAAGCTCAAAGAGACACACTGCCACCTCACTCCCTTAGATGTTAAGTGGAGCGTGTGATGTGTCACTGTATCATCATAAGTCCACAATAAGCTCCTTGTTCTTCATGGTGTTTAAGGGTAAGATTGTTAACTCCACACCAGTGAGCCAGATGTTCCACCTCCTTCCTGTAAGCCTCCTTGTTGTTCACACTGATCAACCCCACCGTTGCAATGTCATTTGCAAACTTCACAGTGGTGTTTTATACACACACAGGAATGCAGTGATAGATGAGCAGTGAGTAGACGAGTGGATTGAGTATGCAGCCTTGTGGGACACTGTGGTTAGCGTCAGAGTAGAGACGATGCGGCTGTCTACTCTAACAGGCTGGAGTGTGTTGGGTGTAGTCCAGTTGCAGAGTGCTGATGCCCAGCTGTCTGAGTTTGGATGGTACAACTGTGTTGAATTCTACAGTTCATCCTGTTAAAACTAAAGCTGAATTTAAAACCCTTCTCCTCACATACAAAGTCTTAATTAATCAGACTGCATCACAGCTTGAAGATTTCATATTAGGGCTGCTCGATTATGGCAAAAATGATAATCACGATTATTTTCACTGAAATTGAGATCTCGATTATTTGACGATATTTATTTAACCCTTTAAGACCTACCATAGAACCAAGTCCGCCAGAGCTTATATTATTTTTTTACATGTTGTAGTGCCATTTGTGGGAGCATTTCAAGTTGCTATACAACTTTTATAGCCCATATTTTAATAATATGTATGCACTAAGTCCATAGTAACTACATTAATTGCAAAAAAGTGCAATAAACT